GGCAGATGCAGCCATCTTACCTTTTGATCACTATGTGTTTATGCAAGAGGCTTATGCCTACCTATAGCCATAGTTCGAGCTCCTGAATAATTGACATGTCGGGCTTTACTTATAGAGACATGCCCTGTAGACAAAGCTATAGTTATATTTAATAATACATGATTGAGGGTTTAATTTAAGTATTTGGTTTTTCCAGGTATCTTCAAATATTATTCAACTTATTTCATTTAATTACTGAAATGCATTCATTCAATTTACACAACCATATTCAGAAATTTCTTGCTGTCAATTTCCAAGACATTCTTATTATCTCCATTTGTACCCATAGTTTTATGATATTTACTCTATAATATCGAATTTGAAGTCATCTATAACAGCTTAGCTGGGGATCAACCTGAAGCGAAGACATTATGTCTGGCCAGCATGGCCAGATTTCCGGTAAAAGGATTTGATATACACTCCCCTCCATAAGTTTGGCAACCTTTTTCCCCCATTGAACTACGTGTTATAGCCTCTTTACGTTTGAATTTTTATTTACTTAACCGGCGATGAAATAACTTATAATATTGATGGAAACGTAACTTGACTTTATTTCCAATACCTCCAAATTTTTAACATGGGAATGTCGATTTTAAAAAATTAATCAAATTTATCATCAATTTTCGACCTATTGTAATTGAGGAAAAAAATTGAGAAAATTTGGAGGTATTGGAATTAAAGTCAAATTACGTTTCCATCAATAGTATAAGTATTTTCATCGCGGGTTAAGGAAATAAAAATTCAAAGGTAAAGAGGCTTTAACACGTAGTTCAATGGGGGGAAAAAGGTTGCCAAACTTATGGAGGGGAGTGTAAAAATTTTGGCTTTTTAGATTTCGTCACCTTTACCATTCACCTAATATTTGGTTACCCGTCGTTGGTTCTGGTTTTGATTTATGATTACATCACAGAAATAATATATCGATATTAAAACACAGTCCCATCTAGTCCCATTAAGTAGATTGTAGATATCTTAGAGGTGTTGAACTATTTTCGTAACTCTGCGTGATCGCTTCATTTAGTAAATTCAGATATATCTTTTTCATAATTCGAAGCAGGAATCTGCGCAGTACATGCATATACTGTTGTCACAAAGAAACAATTGGGAATGATTCAAATGCATGCGTTTTGATTTAGTCAATATCAATATCAGATTAATTTCAATTTAGACTCTACGAATGTTTTTTCTGTTCTATCATTATGGCCTGACCTCTACATGTAAATTATATTTTTCATCGCCTACATGCAATGTACTTCTTTTGCTTTTCTTTAAACACTTTTAATTGGATATCTACAATTGGTTTCTTCAATTGTTCACCATGCATGAGAACATATTGAGGCAATGATTGAAACTACTTTAGTATCATTTTAGCTTTGGAAAATCACGAATCTAAAAAATATTGTACTATTCGAATTATGTTCATCAATGTTATTTGGACGTTTTAACCTAAAATATTTTACACTTTTACTACCACTTTTAATCGGTAGCAGAATATGAATTTGAGAAAAAACTGAAATCGTTACTTCGCGTCATTTTGCTTAAGTCACGTGACCAACTGCGAAAAGTTAATTATCAAAGTTGAATGAAATCCTTGAAAGCTGTACATTTACCCCAAGAAGGAACACACCTTCGCAAATTATATTTGTTACCCGTGCTTCTTACATTCTTACAAACTAACCGCCAATTCATCGAACAATTTGTCAAATGGGATAGACAGACAAACGAGATCCGGTCTCTTATGATATTAATCGAAATATTGTTTCAATCGACGGAAAATTACAGCACCGTGTGCTTTATGTGTGATTGATGAACACAGTTTAACTGAACAAGATTGATTGGAAGGCAAACACTGTTAGTTGCAGTCAACTGCTACTCGATTAATTGCAGATATTCGCACATTACACAAAGCTGCTGAATAAAGTCTGTGAAAATACAATCGCACCAATTACTACATTACAAAACACAATGGGGTCTTTGCATTTACATTACCGCTTATGTCTACATTAGTCTATATGTGCATTGAGATTACGCCTAATATGAATACCCTGTTGGGAAAATATGATACCATACAGAAATGTCATGTTCACTGATGGAAAACACCTCATCACTCAGTTTGAAAATCAACTGCAGTTGATATCAATCATGTAACGCAACAGAAAAATACTCAATGCAAACTGTTAAGACGTAACTGGTAATCCCAAATACCCAAAACCCCTAACGGTGATCTATTGAATTAAGAAATAGATTGTACTATCACAAGATCGCAGGATATTCCAACTGAAATCATCACAATGCACAATGAGCGTAAAATCCTCGATTCCCTAAAAACAAACCATTGGTATTAGTCTCAGGAAATACATTCCTTTGCATTGAATTGTCAAATAGACAATCGTTGTGTCCATTACATCAGAGACTTTGCTAAATAGCGAGCATTTCCAGTGATTAAATCATAAAAAATGATTTTTAAGTAAAAACAGAACAATTATTTACGGTTAGAATCATCCTCTTTAAAATTATGTCATATAGTACATGGTTGCTTCCAAATGATTTGTGAACCTATATATGTGATAAAAAATAAAGACCAGTGTGTATGAAGTATCCCACCGTCATTACTTCTATTGCATTCGATCAACGTTTGAGATACTAAGGGTTTGTTTTTCATTTGGGTTTCCTTTCGTCCTGTTGCGTTTCACATCTTTTATTGTTTTCTAATTCTGACATTTGTGGTAACATGGTTGTTTGGGGAGGCGGTATTTTGTTTGTTTGAATTCTAGGTTATTTGTCGGGATGCTTGGATTGTTTCACTTTGTTTGGTTGGACTTTTTTATTCTCTCAGCATTTTCATATTTGTTGGTCTTTACCCCCGTCAGGCCCCTGTTTTTACATATCCTCTCTTGGGCGCATCAAAACGATGTAAATTAGGAAAATTAACCTTTTGTAACGATAAAACCTAATAATGCGGCCATAAAAAATAAAACCTTTTAAAATGCCAAAACGTCAGGTTGTAATTATATGTTTGGGAGACAATTAGTACTTAAAAATTTACATATAAGAACGGGAAAATGTCCTGCTAAATTAAGTGTTTTTGCGGAATATAACATTTGACATCTCCCGGACTAGTAGAAGACATAGGTGCTGGTGATGGACAGCTATAAGCGCATTATACATGTATTATGCATTTGATTAAAAGTCGACTAAAAGCATCGATGGACGTAATTGATACAATACACATCAAATTAAGTGAAGGACTCGCTAAGTAATCGCAATATACCGTGATTCTTTAATGAAATGGATTCTCAAAACATTTCTTGACCGATATTGGAAGCGATATTTGCGGAAATTCTAGAAACATAAACCCCACTTGGGGAGCAACACAATATAATGGGCTGTAGTTTATTTCAAAGAATATACAGTTGTTACAAAGAAGAGTGCATTCTTTTTCTATTATTTTGAAAGAATGGACACTTGGCAAGCTATCCAAAAGCCAGTGTCGCACAAAAGATGATTGCCAGTTTTTGATAGTTTTCATCATTCAAAAAGAATATCCAAATGTACATGAACTCATATTTTGTTATTGTGCATTCTTTAAAATAACTAATTTTACCCACTCACTTGTCAATTTGCTTTCCTCATAGTTAGTTTAAAATAAATCAAACTTCCCTAAATTGGAACACGGGCCATTTACCTAAAGTATCCTAAACTAAACTATCTATCCGAAAACCCAGTACTCATGGTCTATCCGTGACATAATGATGATATGATTTTGATGAATTGATGAATCTAGTATGGTTGAAGTTTTGCAATTTCTTGTGATTTTGAATTATGATAAAGTTCTTTAAAACGGGGAAGCGGCTTAGGCTTCCTGGATGTTTGTTTGTATTTGTTTTAAGTTATTATACTCCTAAATGTTCTTTATTTATTTACCATTGTCACGTCTCTTTTTCTGGAATCGTGTCAACTGCGAGAATATTTTGAACTGAAACGTGTATAGTACTGTATTTGGAGATTATACTGCATGGATGCAGGTACTAATTCATCCACATAATGCTTTAACATTAACAATATATAATGATACAGGATTCTTTACGGTAATTCAGAGATGACTCAAGGTCAATATGTAGGCTACATAAAGAATATGTATTGAGTTTGAAAATAAAACTCTAAATTAATTAAAGAAATAAGAAAATACATAAAATAGACACTGAATCAAAAAAAATGTGTCTCACAAGTTCATTTTGGTTCTTGGTTTAGATATACTTTGTGATTTATTGACTTTGTCTATGTTAACAATAATTTACCACTCAGTCATTTCAGAAACAAAATCCTGTGGTTCAAGTTCAAATATCAAGTCTTCATTCTGTCATCAGTTGAATCGTAAATAAATAATTCACTTCATCCAATGATATTACACTAATCCCAAATCACCATTTACATCTAAAGTTGTTTTCTTTGAAGAATATTGAATTTGCCGAAAGCTTTGTCGTTGCAGTAGAGGGCGCTGCAAGGCCTAAAGCTAAAGCTTGTGGCACGTTTGAATTAATGATAACGCGTGCTATCCTGTTTATAACAAAGGGGAAAATTGCGGAGTATATGTGTACATCTGTACCATTTAAAAATCAATGGTACAGTTGGAAAGCTTGTGTTATTAAATAAACGTCTGATGTATCTGTTTCTTATGAGGCAAAACGCATTAACATTGATTTTGTTGTTTTTACATAATTTAGGGAAATGAAATAAAATTAATGTTTAATGAAAGATTTGGTCTAAAGTAGGTGTTGATGTTGGACCGTTCTCCCGCTCCACAAAACGACCAGCACCTCTAGATCTACATATACACATGTATCGGGTTGAAGAGTTTAGCAAAATAGATTGAAATAGCATGCATGTGCCGCATTTTGCATCTACATGACAATAAAAGCATATTAAAGGAAATACGTGTACACACAACAACCAATACGTACCTGTCGTTAAAAACTTGATGGAATGGATATGACCACGCTGAAAAACACAATATCAACATTAATATGCTAAATGATAGATATATTATAAAATCATGATATGTACATGTAACTTACACAATCAATTGACTTGGACACAAACCTTCTTTTTAGAAATATGAAAAACTTGAAAAAAACTTCTAGTAAGCAGTGCAAGCTGCAATTTTAAACAGATCATTTAATATGCAAAATGTCGCCACCTATCATTTGTTGAAAAAGCAAAACTTCGACCACCGACCGACGGACACCAAACGCCGAATACCGTCTTCACTTGTAGTGGTGACACACATTATTCATTTTTGAGAGAAATTGACTTTTCCATGATCAATTTCAATAACTACCGAAAAGCAGGTTTGTGTCATATCTTATTGAATGTGTAAGGTCATATACATGTCATTATGGATTAAATAGGCACTAAACATAATTCGGAAATCGGGAAATTTAATGTCTCGGGAAGTTAACTACTTATTCAGTAGTTTAAGTTTTTAGGATGAAAATTACAGCTATTAGACCTTTAAAGGATATTACATTTGGCCCTTATCTCCGATTTCCTAACTATAAGATGTAAGCTAATATATTAGTTAGTTAATTCAATTCCCAATACTTTGGTAGATATCATTACTACATTTTTGTCAATGATTTTGTTACATTGATATACTTCATGTAAAATTGAGCGCTGAGTGGTTTTCCTGAAATGGCGAAGACAAGATTAATCGAAAAATCTTCAAAATGGTCTACAGAAAACAAGATGGCCGCCCAAAGGTTAATACGATATACGGAAGGTTGTTTGACTGGATGGAGAATGATTGGCTCGTATTATATTTGACATTATTCAATTGAAATAATTCTGTTTTGTAAGTGTTCCCTATCAGACATACAGGCATGATACACCTATGAAAGTTAATTTGACCAACAAAATAGTAGAATGGTGTATTAATTCTAGATGGAACTAAGGATGAAGGAGTTTGAATCATGTAGACCGGTGATACCCCGAGAAGCTGAACCGCTACATGTACATCGCAAAGCACATGACCATGTTTCTATTGAAGTATCACAATTATGTTATACACAGGATTAAGGGAATTCCATTGTATTTACAATGGTGTATCATATACTGCATAATGTATGAAATCTATTCTAAAATTATTTTCAATTTGTGTTTTGCGTAAGTCACCCCAACCTCCCTCCCTAATATTCTCTACATTAGAGTTCTAATAAAAATAAAATAATGAGGAGGGGTGACTTACTCCCCATGCCTAAAAGGAACACGGTTGCAGCATGAATACTTAATAATGCAAGGACATTTAATACACTTAGTCCGAACATCCGCCCGCAATTCAGAATTCTCAAACAAGGGTTACAATTCCATATAAGTTTGGTAACGTCATATTAATTAAAATGTTGCGTCATTAACATGGAATTTACTATTTGTTTTGTTCTTATGCTCTGATCAATTGTGCGTAGGATTTGTAATCGAAGTACCAAACAGAAGCTCCCGATTGTTCTACATGAATAGGGTGCATTTGCAGATGGACCTCTGTCATTAGTAAACGTTAAAAGTAATCTCATAATCGTAACTTAACATTAGTTCTGTTGAATGGTGCAAACAGCGTATTCTAATCTATAATTAATAAGGCATAATCTCTTTACATTGACTTCATAATGAGCCAGTGCTATTCACATAATTGGGACTAATGTCTACTAATGTAATTGCAAACTCCACACAGATCATAGTCGGTTGTCATTAGAAAATCGTTTCAGCCAATACGTGATCCCTCTGCAGTTATTTGTTATCACAGCAATAGTGTATCTATTTTGGACCTCTTACTTTCCACTTTGCCAAGTCTGATGAAAGAAATTGTTTTAACAAATTAGCGGGCAATTACACTGCCCTATCTACATGACATGAATGCCCTTTCCGTACATGGCTACAATATACGAGTGTTGTTCCAGAAGTCCTAAACTAGTGAAGTCAAGTATAGAGCGTCATAAAAATTAGATTACGAGTTATTTGGATGATATTGGCTCAACATTATGCTGCTGAAATATCATATCAGACTTGAATGATCAAATTCATATTAATGCTTTAAACAGAGTGATTAGCTCAGGACGTCTACAATAATCACGCATTATATTTTCTGTCCCTAGTGTAGAATAGGGGATTGTTTATACAAAAACGTTTAGAACCAAATAGAGAGGGCCACAATATTTTTTTTACAAAAAATCTCGATTACAAGGTGTCCAATAAATAAGGTGAAAGATATTGTAACTTTCTTAATATTGCACCAATCTTGATGGAATTTTCAGAGATTGTAGCCTTAACCTTTTTACCTTTATTCCGTGAATTTAAAGCGTCTTCTACTTGATTGGACAGAGTTGTGGTTGCTATAGCAACTGAAACAACAAAAAGGCGGGGCAAGTTTGTTTACATCACAACTTTCCAAAACATATTTATTCTTTCTGATAGCTTTATTCATACTCCAAGGACTATTACTACCACAAATACAATATAAAAAACAGTCCTAAAGTCCCATTGTAATGAAAATAAGCTATTCAACATAATTTCCATCTCTAGCTATACACTTCTTATGCCTATTCACCCACTCTCTAAACACACTTTCAATCCCATTCTTGCCCATTTCCTTAAGTCTTGCTTAGACATGTGACCTGAGTTCACCCACAGCTTTGCTCACTAGTGAAACTATTAGGGCACTGGGACTACTCCTATTTGCACACCCACCATATTCCCCAGACCTTGCACCCATTGACTTTTACTTATATGCAGAACTCAAGCGTGATTTGAGAAGAAATAAATTTGGAAGCACTGATGAACTCAGATCACATGTCTTAGCAAGACTTCAGGAAATGGGCAAGAATTGGTTTGAAAGTGTGTTTAGAGAGTGGGTGAATTATAGGCAAAAGAATTAGTGTATAGCTAGAGATGGACATTCTGTTGAATAGCTTATTTTCATAACAATGGGACTTTAGGACTGTTTTTATATTGTATTTGTGGTAGTAATAGACCTGGAAGTATGGATAAAGCTATCAGAAAGAAGAAATATGTTTTGGAAAGTTGTGACGTAAACAAACTTGCCCCGCCTTTTTGTTGTTTCAGTTGCTATAGCAACCACAACTCTGGCCAATCAGATAGAAGATGCTTTAAATTCACAGAATAAAAGTAAAAAGGTTTGGGCTACAAACTCTGAAAATTTCATCAAGATTGGTGCAATATTAAGAAAGTTACAATATCTTTCACCTTATTTATTGGACACCCTGTACATCGGTGTTTGATTAATTAATGTCGTTATGGGTACTCATCATTTACGACACTGAACCATAGCTTTTTGAACTCACTCCTAATACTTGGACAACGATGCTCTAGCTCAAGGATGTTTGCCATATTGAGATGTTTGAATTTTTTAGGACTTGATTTAGTTTTCATGATAATAATCAAGGTCAGTGTTATTGAATACCGTTGACCCGAAAACCAATGATTACTTGTGACAGAATGGCTCACATTCTGAGATCGTTTGAGTTAATGTTGACATGTAAGAATGCATAACAAAACATAATTGTATATAATTATGTCGCTTTTAATGTTGGTGACATTCGTCCAGACACACCTCTTGATATTTGTTATTGGTATCAATACACACTCGATGTTAAAAATTTGATCATACATTTAATCAAAATCGTGTAGACTCATTATGAATTTTGTGAAACTGTTTAAGACACCCATCGAATTCCATGTGGATTACAGTATAACTAAAATCACTCTAAAGCTGAAAGGTCAAATATAACCAATAATTGAGAGCTTGCATTTACACTGAATGCTAACCTTTATACAAGATAAGATATACTTATGCCATTTCGGAATCAATTATATAATTGTTTCTTACACCTTTGTTAAAATGCTTTTAATTCCATTCATTAATAAAAAGGTTATGGAAAAGTCAGAACAAATGTCAAAAGAGAAGGAAAAATTAAAAGTGATACAAACCAGCAAGAAAAATACAACTTTAAGAGCTCAAAATGTCATCGGCAATCCAAAACCCAACATACAAAACTTGCGAAGAAAGGAAAATATCAATCATATCCACTCAGTGGGGCATTGCCCCCCCCCCCCTTAGTTTGGCCCAGAAAAAATAATTGGGTCCAAACGATTTTGGGCCAAAAAAGGCCTTAAGGTTGGTCATAACTAGGCTCAAAATTTCAAAATTTGGGCCCACTTTTCGGTTTTAGGGGCCCAAAAATGTTTTCCTCGCAAGGGCGGAAGTTTTTTTCTCTGCCCAACCCCCCCCCCCCCCCCTTGTTGGTTCCTGGATCCGCCACTGCCACTCATGGATATCAAAATCTTAACCCATTTGCTGCGCCCACTCATGATGATATCAAACTCTACTCATGGATATAAATTGTCGAACAACCACTTGTCTCATCATCCAAGGAATATTGTCACTATTAAAAATAGCATGACCATGGATATCGTTAAAATGCATTATGCAGCTTTATGTAACGTAGCAATTAAATATAATCCTATTACAATCATGTATTCTATGTAGACAGTAACATTCAACGTGGTGTATTGCAATGTGGCCACACTAACTGAGCTTTTCTGTTGTAGAATGTGGAACGCGCTATGAGATTAAAGAAGTTGATTTGACAAATTATAGAGTTATGCGTTGGTAATGAAGGTAAGTGTTGTGTCTAGTAATGAGGCAGATTCCCAGTGTTAAGATCATATGCTGAAATCCGGATTATCAAAATAGTATTGTGAGACATTAGTCTGAAAAATGCATACTGCTAATGTACCAGTACACCATGCGTCAATTTAATGACAATATGATCTAAATCGTTTCCTGTAGTAGTACATTATTAATCATGTTCTGTCTTTTGATGATTTTTGTTATTTTCCTTTTTGGCAAATATGCTAAAATGTTTTATTGATCTGCTTTTGTAAAGAGCATGATTCACACAATTAGGATAGTGTTATACAACTCGGTAATACGTAACAAAAGTGTGTGAGATAGCTTTCAAGGGACACTGCATATAAGTCATTGATAGGGCTTTAAATTGTTCCATAGTTTCACTTTAAATGGTTTCGCTCGTGTGCAAGAATGTGATACATTGAACAATTCTAATATTCTTGAGGCTGACTTTGATTCATGACTTAACACTAGTTCAATGTTTTTTGAAGTTCAAAAATAGCCAAGATTTGTAACAATTCTAAAAATACTAATACATTTTATTAATTGGTGTACTCTTCACAAAAATAACATTTCTATGATTTTGCAACCAAGATATTTCCATTTGGACGTGTTAAAACCCACCTGTAATGAGACGATATTCTCGAGTCTTGAAAATAACAATTCCATCATATCCATTTTCTGATTGTTTTCACTGAATTACAACTAAACAGGGCTAAAATTGGTGACAATTCTTCAAAAAAAATTGTAAAGAGCATTCCATTTTAAACCAATGGGAAATAATTGGCTCACGACAAATTGGATTACAGATTACGTTAGGACGTTTTTACAGAGGACCTTAATCCCATATACTATTATTTGTAAAATCGGTCGACATTATGGGTTTTCATCAAATGGGACATTAACCAGTTTTGGAATATATACCTTTCTTTATCCATCATTGATAGAAAACCATTCTCACATGTACGCTTTGGACCTAGCTATAGATACATCCTTCCTTCTAATATATAGACCCTATTACAATACCAAATTGTTTACAAAATTGTATCGATTTAGTATATTTCTGATATAGCCATAACTCTAGATAATGTACTGCATATATACAAATACATTAATGTCATTAGTTGATTTATTTTATACAGGAGAAAAATCGGTGACAAACACGAACAATGCAAATGTGTATACAGTGGGCCATAATATGTTTTGGTTTGTTACATTTGATTCATTTAATTATGTTGTACCCAATGTTCACACCGGAATAGCCTGACAACGGTAAAATCAGATACCGTTGTCACAAATGGTGGACATTTAACCGTCGCTTCAACTCTTTAATCGCTGCACGGTTATGTCAATAGTATACATAGAGATTATCCTATATGAGGTTCAGGATATTGGGATTATCCCGAGGCGAATATAATATATTTGCCCGAGAGCCGCAGGTCCCGAGGGGAAATATATTATATTGGCCAAGGGATAATCCCAATATCCTGAACCGACTATAGGATAATATGTTTATCCCATACCAATTTTGGTCATCTGGTTCACATTGTTCAATCGTGGAAATATTTTAGAATATTCATGTTCAGTTTTGTTTTCTTGGCCGTGGGCGGATTTTCCTGTTCTCTCAAATATTCCCACAATTATTTTCTCGAATTTTTCATTGATTAAGTGGATGCTCCTTCCCTTTTTTAAACCATCAAACAGATCCCGATTGTCTGTGTTTTCTCCATTGTCGTTTACAGTCATTACGCGAACGTTACAAATTATGAACAAATATGCGAGTAGCGATTATGACGTAGCGGGCAGATATACTATATCTGCCCGCTCGGAGCGGGACGTAAAGCTATATCTGCCCGCTGATGAAAATATAGGTTTTTACAAACCGGCTTTATGTACCTGTAACACGTCCAAGTATGGGATATGACCCCCTTTTCTTAAATATCCACTTGTCAATTTCGCAGCTACTTTTTCAAGTATACTTATTTCAAAACTTTAATGAACATGTTGATTGCTATACACATTTTATAAAAATCATATTGAGTTGACATGTATTAACATCTATGGTTTTCTGTTCTGAGAGACTCTTTGATATACATATATCGATATATTCAATGAATATTATTCATATTAGAACAAGAAAGGGGAGGGGGTTCATTTACCAGTCAAACCAGGCTGCTCTGGCCTCTTTCTGGAGAATATTCAATCAGTAATATATCCAACAATAGCCATCAAAATATCCTTAATACCCATCAATTTGGGTAAAAATGCTGTTGTTTGCACCTATAAACGTTACATCAGATAAAAAAGTGATTGAACAATTCTCAGTAAATTTTGAGTGCATTTTAGAGAAGAAATAACGATTTTGAGTTCAATTATCAAATGTTCCAATTTTTTGGACCACCCTGTATATATTTATATGTTTTACCCGGTAGTCTACTAGATTATATATAACAAGAACGCAATATGAAATTACACTGTTCCTGTTTAGATCGTTTACTTGGCTACTATTAGATATCTCCGAAACATTTCGGGAAATAATTCCAATATGTTTGACATTTAGATAGTTTATAAATGTTATGTGTATATGGATTTCATTCTTTTTTGGCTTTAGTAAGTTGTTGCAATTTCTCATTTTTTCAAACTCAACGAGGAGCTCGAGAGGTAAGCTAAATGCAATTTATGTCACAAAATCAAGCTAAATGTAATGTAATATAGCATAATGAATCTAGATTTCGTTTAATGCAGTAAAGTGAAGCTAAGTGTAAATTTATGAAGTAAAATAAAGCTAAATGTAGTTTTATGTAGCAAAATAAAGCTACGTGTAGTTTGATGAAGCAAAATACAACTAAATGTAGGTAAATGTAGTAAAATGAATCAAAATAAAAAATGAAGGTAGATAAAGTGTAATGTAGCACCATGACATCGTCGCCACTGGGTCTAGAGTTGAGGTAGGAACAATCAAACATTGTGAACCAAGATGGCACAATGAAGCTTTGTGTAACTTAATGTAGTAAACTAAAACTATAGATGTAATCTGAAATTGAATACATTACCGAAGCAGGATGCAATGCAGTATAGAGCGTCGCCTATCACGAAAAGTGCAATGAAATGCAACGTGGCATCTTTAGTGTAATGTAAAGAAGTAAAGACTGATATAATGATGCACGATAAAGTGCAACAGTTAGGACCATTAATTTTAATGTAGTGTAGTGAAGCACGACGAAAACACTATATAGTGCAAGCACTATGAAGCTTAATGTAGCTAGCGAAGTGAAGCACGATGCGTTGAAGCGCAATATAGTGCTATGCAGTGCAATAAAAAGAACCGAAACCTCAATAATACTGATAAAATGGTAGCACTGTCACCGATCACGTGTATCTAAACATCGAAAGTTATCACTGCGGTTCCGGTCCGGCCTTGAACAACTTATGCTTAACGCTAGGATATTGAATTAATCAGTTAGAGAATCCAAAATTGCAACAATGGATTCCATTGACCCAAAATAATTGTTGTATTGCATTTTGCGTCGTTTGGGAATGCGACTTTTAATATCCAAAGTGAAGACTACTAAAGTTCAATGTTCCACGTTTAATGGCCGGGAGATAGTTATTCAACGATATAACAATGTGCACATTTGTAAAATATCAGCTCAAATCTTTAGTGTCGAAATGTTTCAACACTATATTGTTTATTTAAAATGCAAACTTTGATAGATAAAATTGAATTAATAAAGACAGAGAAAAAGGAGGCAATGCTATAGGCACCTCACATTTGTATGTTTGCTTTTACTTTTTGGAGATATCCGCCACAGTTAAAGTAATATACGAGGTCATTATTTAGGAAGATTTATTCAAAACCGACTACTGGTTACCATTACCTAATTGTTATTTCAATTTCTGCGCTTTGCGTTATCTTAACCCGGTGTCGACTTTTGGTCAGTGGTTATGAAAAGCCGATACAGTTTCCTGCCCTCAAACGAACCGATGTATATCAACGACTTCGGTACTTTTTTCACTTCAACTGACATATCCTATGTGTGCGTGCTACCGACACAGCAGAAACTAACAATCGATAGAAAATAAGCATTATATCTTATATATAATGACAATTGTAAATTCTAAAATCAATTGATTTTAATTTGATATGATTGTTCAATTGAACCATGCATATATTGTGAACAATGAACGCTTGGGCATTTATTGCACAGATAAATCAAAATCAAACCATAAAGCTATCGGTGTTAAAAGATGAGAAAGAAAGAAAGACACTGAAGAAAAGTATTCTAACAAAACTTACCTATTTGAGCGAAATAAAAGGTTGCTAGAAATGATATAATTATTGTGTTCATAATGTCCCTCTTAAAATCGTAAATCCACAAACTTGTTTTTCCTTTCCTCTTTAATTTATCCCTTTCTTCCACAGTGGCTCCCACTCTGTACCTGCTAACGACAATTATAGTACTGTTCCTGGATTGCTCGAAATGGCCTCAGAATTGATTAGCAAATTGCTGCCACTAACTCAAGCATATCGTCTCTAATATAAACAATAGGCTGGTGCTTTCCATTACTGAAATTTCACGAACTAATTAATTTATTTACCTATGAAATATAGTGTTCTGACAATTCAGGACATTGATATAATGACGTTCAGTAGCAACGTGTATTATGTCTATTCTGCGAGAATCATAGGGGGCACCGAGTTCCTATTTACAAGTAGTTCCTCATCTCGTGTTTGTCACCAAAGCGGAAGTCATCTAAGCAATTTACTACACTCTTTATGTGACGTAGGGCGTTAGGAAAATATGTCTCATTTAATTGATCGCCGGTATTAATTTATTATCGCATATTAGTTTTACGTACTTTTATCAACATATGATCTTTTTGTTCTCAGTGGGAACGTCTTTGGTGGGAAAGTGGGTGGAGTAATATGCGTGTTAAGCAAATTGGGATATATGATTTCACGTTTCGTCATCTCGCACATCAATAACTAACCGACTTATTTAAATCACTTGTTTTAATATTCATACAATTTCCCAAAGGCAATCACCGCTAATCTGAATATATATAGTCTCAAAGCAATTCATTTATCGCAGATATGATTATGACAAGACTATTTTGAGGTATGAATTATTTAGCTTTGTATCTGCTATTCGAGGGAATAGGACGTGTAGGTTCTCAGAAAACGTAATGCTTCATTAGAGTTGCTACCGGAGTATTAGTCAAATGATGCATTTTTCATAGAATATACCCCGTATATGGAAATGCAATTAGTTTGAGTTTACTAGATATGCACGGGGACCGTTAAATTCACCGAAATACTACTTCCCTAATAGGCTATATGCTTTCAAGATCGCACGAGCTTTAAAAGTATTAGAAGCATCGTTGATTTAATTGAATTTTACACGGTCATTATGAATTATTTATTAAACAGTTTATTCCCAATTACGCCTATTTTTGTCTCTCTAAATGTGTGATATACATGATTTATCAAATGACATTGTTCATTGATTCTATATAGCAAATTAAACCAACAAAGGGGTGCGGCGTTACCTATACAAGTAAAAAAGATTTGAATTTGGCTCCCACAACACACCGTTATTTGTTCGTCTTTATAACATGGATATATAATTTATCATCCTTCGACTCCTATTACACTTTTGTTCACAATGACGTCGAAAATGACGTCTTATAAAGTGTGATAATATGGACGTGATATGAAAATATGTGAATTCTATTCCATATATTGTTAAGTGTCCAGCCAGCGTTACACCTTTATTTGGTATTCTAATCTTTTCATCCTAACAAAGACCGACTATTTTATTTATGAAACAAGACCCAAGCAAGTATTTGAATAATTAGCGACCGTGAGAGATGGGCACCCTCAAACACTTGTTCACTTACATTGGTTATTCAATTAATTAATGAATTTATTACTTCAAGTGAATCGCTATGCCTGAGTAGACAGAACGTGAACATGTATTCGGTCAATAAATGCTTGTGGCTATTCAAATCAAACTTCTTTGATTGACATTACATATGACATTTTTCAGTTTTGCCACGGCGGCCAGTGCGATATTGAATTTCATCATTTGAAATCAATATATGAATACATTTTTTTGCTTATATTTGCTGCATTCGTGTTTATTTATCCGAGCAAAATCTCATTATACAATAAAGAGGGGGGAGGGGTCAAAGAAGACGCTACGATGTAAATGTGTATTGAGAAGCCATCGTCGCTGGTTGGTCGAATCGACAGACAAATGAGGTCATTCAATGGCGGTTTCAACTTTTCTAACAAGGCATTAACATGACAAAATGTCACCACCTAGTTGCTCACAATATTATGAGTTCAATCTCAAGTCAGATTTTAATTTCTGAGAACTTGTAGATGATTTCGAAAAAATAAATTGGTCAATTCGAAGCAAGTCAGTTGAAAAAGGCCTTCTTTGACCCTGAGAACGTCATTGAAGGTGAACTCTCAAATCTAAAGTCAAATTTGAACTTCTGATAACTTGAGGATAATTTTGAAAAAATACCCCTTTGACCTTTTTACCTTGAACTGGTCATTGAAGGTCAAAGCTTATATATAAAGTCAGATTTGAACTTCTGAAAACATGTACATGATTTTGAAAAAAAAATGTTAAGTTATTGGAAGTTGTAAGAATTTGTTACAGACGCCATTTGTTACAGACGCCAACCGTCAACCGCCAACCACCCATCGCCGTCAAAAAAAGAGACAATAACAACACTTTTTGGTGGTGACATAAAAACGCTATGAATAATATTATGTTAATTTCTGGCGTTTAATGAGTATGATTTCAAGAGAGAGGTATAGGAATATGCTGACGTCGATGAAAACATTACAACGACGTGTTGTATTCGGATACTAGCCGATGCTGATTCGGACAAACGAAAATGGTAAGCAAGGGACGTAATTATGCCTGTTACCTCTAAGGCTCTGGGGGTTTCCCTCCTCTTATAGTTATATAGTCGACTGTACGTCTAGAAAGATTAATGGCTACACTTAGCCACAAAAAGCGTGAACGAAACTCGGCCCATCTTTACATCTTAATAATAATCCATCCGATGATTTTGAAATTAAAACTAGTATATTTTGTCTATAGATACATCACGCAGGTGAGCAGCTCCAACTTTCGAGACATATCGAGATCACAACTCTCCGCAAAAAACGTTAATTTGAATTTTAGAACTACTATACTGGATATTTGGAAATCAAAGATTGTGTCTCATCGTGCTGTTTCTCTTTTGAACTTGTTGCGTTCAAAACAAAACAAATATGCCTCTCTGATGGTAATGTTAGATAACCTCGTTTTAGCGGTGTTTGTATCAACAGCTGTGAGAAGATGTTTTACAAAGAATTCAATTTAGGTTCAGTTGTATAGCCAATTCCTTTTTTATTCTCACTCATGTTTTTTTGAAGACACCAATGGGCAATTTTGTTGTGGGCGCGAATGAAGAACGAACTGGCGAACTAGAATTAGAATTAAATTTGAACGTTAAAGTATGAGACTCAAAATCCTTCATTTTCTGGTCGTAGACTTACAATATATCGGTTTTGGCATGGTATTATTTGTTTCAATATATGCCGACAGTTGGACCAGTGTGAAAGAAATTATGGTCCCCAAGGGATTATGGCCCCCCTTTTTAAAGGCCCTTACTGGCCCTGATTGTGTATAAGATAATAAGGGAAAGAGTTCATCATATAAATCAATGGAGAATAGGACCATAAATTAATAGGACCTCCTACCCTTTTACACCGGCCGCGAATTCAAAGAAAGTGGTTGAAACAACATTTTTTATTATTTTTAATAGGTTTTTATTTAATGTTAGCAGCATTACAATCAAAGCAGACATTACGTGCAATTTGACAAGATTTGACATAATGGTTGTTCAAAAAGTTGCAGATTATTTCTGCCAAGAGCACCATATGAAATACATTACTTTTAAACCTATACAGTTTGGTCGTACATTTTTACATTTTTGTATCTTTTATATATACAGAAAAGTGTGTTTAATAGGATTGAATTTTCGTTCATGATTACAGGTTATTGTATTATAGTTCTCATTGTGCAATTTTGTGAGGGATGCATTTTATTTTAGCGAACTGTTCTCTAAAATATTCCCTTTTATCAAAGTCAACACCCTCTGATATACATTAATCACCAATATTTACATCAATGTTGTCAGCTCTCATACTATATGCATATTTTTGTTTTTAAATGAGCTTGGAGGTTTAAAAAAGATGACACTGATGAATATGTAAGTAATGACACAGCTCTTCATTTTGGTCGTCTGGGAGATAAGAACACATGCTGACACGTTTACTTATTCACTATTAAGTGCAGCTATTAAGCACATTCTCACAAAACAGATGCATAATATCTAACCCTCTGTACACACTGATTACACTTTCTATATAGATCAAATACATCTCTGTGGAATGTAGATAGAACAATGAAAAAGCCTTAGAGTCCCAACCCCCTTTGTTACATTCGCAAAAACGTGATACTCCAATCATCGAAAGCAATGTCACCTACATGGGTACTTTAATCCGTACGAACTGAGCAGGTCAGTGTCGTTCATGTTTAAACGAACGAGTTCAACAATTTGAAAAGTTCGATGCAAGTCCACGTGTTAATATGAAATGGGTCAACATTCACACATTCCGTATTAACACGTGGGTCGAACTAGCATGTACTTGTTTTTTCCTTGAACTATTCACAGAGATGTATTTGGTCATTTGGTGTATGTAGAAAGTACAATCAATTCCCTAGAGCGTGTTCTATACAGTATTGCCCCTCGAAATTGCTGTGCAACATAATCTTCGTTTCCATAGGATGAGGTCACTATTTTTCATAAAATGGTCTTTTTATCTCGTATTAGGTATTATGTTGTAATGAAAACAAGCCGACTAATGTGGAAAGGGTATCCCCCGGGGGTATCCACACAATGTGTACATGTGTCGTTTTGTTTAACACATAATATACATGATTATCCGGGGATAAAGACATGATGTTGCCATTTTTCATCCTTAAAAGTCAAACTTGCAAGATGCAACAACATGTCGTAACTGTAGCTTTGTTGCCATGTGTATCTGTGCATTTTCTACAATCGTCTACAATATATCGGGTGCCTCAAAAGTGAGCCAATTAATCCAGGTATGTTGACATAATGTTCTTTTGACCATTTGAGAATAATTTGTGAAAGATCGTTGATATATTTTGCAGACTTGTTGATTATAACGTTAGCCGGTTCATCCATTGCTGAGCGGCAAACTTGTCGAACGATGAAATTCCAGTACCTGTGCGGTGCAAAATCGTCCATTCTTGATTCCCTTTGAAAATGTTTCTTGATCTCGACTCGATAAAGAAGAGTAATCAAAGCTCGTCAAGAATGGACGATCTTGCACAGGTACTCATGCAAGAACCTTTAAGTAATATCAAGGGAACATCTGTACAAAGTTGCAAGATGTTTGGTTCAGTAGTACTATATCTAGTATTTTGATAAACAATATTTTCATCTTATTTCTATTTTACCCTGTACAAATGTGAACCGACCCGATTTCAAATGGATATTAGACACATATAAAGTTCTTACATATAAAAATGACATCTTTTGACTCGTATAAAAACAATGGATACCTCTATTAGAGTTTTCTTCGAAAGGTAAGTGTCACATATCAGGTGAATAAACAAAGATCTTTGGGTAGGAATCTG